CTTGACTGTGTATGATGTCTTAGTGTGGGTTATTTACACATCATAGATTTCACCTACTCCCCTCTCCCAAAGACCCTAAGCCCCTGAGTGCACCAAGCAAAAGCTATACCTTCCCCCTCCCCCAACACACGCACATCCGTTTGCAGGACAGAAATGGCATAATGTGGCACCACCCTTGTTCTCTTGCATCTTGAAAGACTTCAGGTAGCAAGGACAGATACCACTTCATGCACCAGACATATAGGAATTTCAGAGGGACAGGGTCTGTGACCAGTGTGAAGTGGTTCCCTAAGACATAGTGGAGGGCCTCAATCAGCTTAACAGATAAGCGCTCCTCCTTAGTTGAAGAGTAGGCTTTACCTCAAGGAAACAGCTTTCTACGTTGATAGGGCACTGAGTGCCTCTGTCCCTCAGAGTCTTCTGAAGCTCCCGCTGGGTACTGCAGATCTTTACCACACCTAATGCAGGCCAGTGCCTAATTCACACCATCAGGCTCTAGGTCTGTGCTTTAAAAGCAAATATGACCCACCATCCATGAACATTCATTTATGCTTTAGACTACAGGTGCTCTGTTTTATAATTATTGTTTAGGGTGCCTAGAATCAATGATTCAGGTGAAAAACACGGTATCATTATAACTATAAAATTACCTCTATTTAAAGATGTTTTTCTAATTCATAAAATTTACCTATTACCACCTGTAAGTTCATCTACATAAATTATAAGATTGCATAAATTGAAGCAATATACCAACACAATACTAACTGGGGAACGCAAAATGCCCCCTCTGCAAAAGAAAATGTAAAGCCCATCTCTAGCATCCCTTAGACAAAAATGAGGTCAGTTTTGAAGGTAAGCAAACTCAAGCTTTCTCAGATCAACAGGGCCTCACATTCCAGAACTGAGAACTGCCCAACTGAGAACACCCAGTCTGCAGACCTTGGACATTCAGGTTTCTGAACTTTTAGAAAGAGCACCTCTGCTTCTCTCAACTGTTAGGATGGAGCACAGAGAGACAATCTCTAGGAAAATGAGGATCCCAATTAAAACCCATGCTTTGAATTTCACTTGGAAACATACACTGTGCAGCATTGTGTAGCGTAAGTAAACAGCCACACTCTGCACACATCTTTAAGGCTAGCCCCAGGCAGAGCACTCTACAAAATCCTGTCTGTTGGTGACAAAGGCTTGGATAACTTTGAGGCGATCTGCATTCAACAGTAAACGTCACCACCTCTTTGCCAAGCAAAAATTAAAAATAGTGCTCTTGACAACTTCTGTTCCCTCTGAATCCAAGAGCTCCCCAGGATGCCAAGCCAGCTGAAAGGTGGACTAATTCAACAGGCAGCCTTCATTGGCAAAGTTCCTAGTAGTCCTGGGATGGACTTTAAAAGCTGTCCTACACTTGATCAATAGTACACCATTGCTTCTATGACGTTTACAAGGTAAGGTTAAGGGGGTGCACACTCAAATCCCTCTGCCCTAAAAGATTTACAGTCCTGGCCCTTTAAAATTCTTCCTGTGTTGTAAAGGAATGTCTAGGGAAACCAACCTGTCAATTTTCTGGTTCACACGCAAAGAATAACTTAGATTGTAACCTCTTTGGTGGCAGGGGCTGTTTTTTGTTCTGTGTTTGTATGGTGCCAAGCACAATAGGGACCTAGTCCATGACTAGCGTGATAATGCTGATGATAACATTACTGATTAGAGGAGGAAGTCATGACATTAGCTGTCTGCAGCAATTTGCTGTTTTGAGGGCAGAGAAAGAGAAGGGGGGAGCTCACAGAAGGTGTCTTTTCAGAAATAGCTGCAAATGCGTTAGGAACTGCAAGTGCGTTAGTCCTTTTTCCTATGTCCAGTGCATCTGTCTGCTGCTCCCAAGGCTTGGCACGGAATCCTGCCAGTTGGTCCTGAATGCTACATTTGGCCCCGAATCATTAATTCTGCCCTATGTTCTCAGTTCCAGCTATGAAATCCTAATGCTGGCTGCTGCTTGTAATCTTGGTTCTTGAATCATTCCTGCTGCTTCTACAGCTAGGTTCTTATTCCTGTCTAGTGGTGCACTTAGGGCCAAATTGCTGTACATTTCTAGACCATGGGAGTTTTGCGGTTGACTTCAGCTAGATCATTATTTGATCCTTAGACCTTAATCTTGCTTTGCGTCTGGTTCTGTGTCCTTCACCCTAGCTGTGTTTCACTTGATCTCTAGCTCCAAATGTTGCTCTTGATCCTGTGCATTTAGTTTGGGAGGTTGCACCGCACATAGGGCTTTATCCTTGAATGTTAGTAATGTGCAATGTATTTGTGGACCAGGATGTTCAAGTGAAGGTCACACAAAGTTTCCACCTCTCTCTCTCTCTGGACCACCCTACGGATAATACTTTTAGCTGAGCAATGGCACAATACTTTGACTGTTCTGTGTGTGCCTGGGTATGCACAACACGTCCACGCTGGCACCAAACAAAAGAGCAACAACATTTCTTCCATTTTTTTTTTCTCTGCTTCAGAAGTGATTCAGTCTCTCAGCGTGCCCCTTACATATCAGGTTGCTTGCCCATTTTAATAGTAGCTCTGGCAGCACTTGCTAACTGTATGGAATGAAACTTCAAAACTAAATAGTGCTGTAAATACAATTAGAAACAATGCTGTGAAAAGAAAAGAAATGTTGTCATTCTGCAGCTTATTTATGGCTAGCTAATTTAAATGATTTTCAGAGCATTTACTTCAGATGCCTTCTTTCATTTCCCCACAGTTATATTTTAGTGTTCTCATTAATACTGACTTTTAGAAAGATACAATGTGTCTGAATTGAATAGTAATGTATAATTTAAGAGAAAATAAACTTTCATTTTACTATTGTGTATGGCAACAACAGAACAGTTTGTTTATTAGTGTCTAGTGCAAGTGCAGTAGAGCCAGCCAGTATCTTGAGTAGAAAAGTGGCATGTGAATTGCATAATATTTGCTTGCATTAAACATATCAAAGCAAAAGTTTCAATTGTGTATCCTTTTTATAAGTACAAAAGTCACCTTTGTGCATGCATATCAGGTTTGGTATGATCTTTAATGTTGCCAACCAATCTAAAATTATCCTGGCCTAAAAACATTTTTAATGGAGTCACCCAGGTCCCTGGATTTCAGATTATACTAATGTTTGTTTTTCTAATGCTACATTGAATGTCCAAATATATGCAATTTTGCTTGGTTGTTTTTTTTTTTAACATTATTACAAAAGTTAAAAGGGTAACTTCCAGTAATGTCAACCCCAAGTATTCAAAAGTCATACATAAGTCAGGCCCCCAGAAATCATAAGATTGGCTGAAAAATTGAGTTTTTCAAACTCAAGAAAATGTTGAGTTCTTTTCATTTACCTTCTGTTTTAATTTTAAGCACTTAAGATTCAGCATTTTCAAGCTTTTCCCCTCTCCCAACTGTAAGGGCTAGAAACTTACTTATTTGTTAAATGAAAGTTGTGATTCTCACATGATCACTTGTCTCCAGAGTTGGGGCTTCTAAGAAAAGCACCAACTCTTGCGAGACTCTCAAAAAAAACCATGAAAGTTGGCAAATCCTATTTCAATGGTACTTTACCTGAGGGACTGAACTTATAGGACCAGAGTGTCCCTGGCCATAGTGCTGTTGCTTCTTTCTCCAGACACCACAGACAAGGGCTAGAGATATTCACAGTCTCTATGCTGCTCCTGTTTTCCTATGGATGCACAAATTTCCCCAAAGTGGGGTATGGTCCTGCTCCCCTTCACACCCGCCTGCCTACTGAATTGGTCAGGTGCACTGGGGCAAGAAGCTTGCCTCCCTCATCTCCATTGGATTGGGGCAGTTTCACACTATCTCCTATGTAAAGCTCTCGTTCAGTGCTATTATCTTGTCCATAATAGGGGCCCAATTAAAAAAAAAAGAGAGAGAGACTGGAGTCTTGTGTATCCACTGGTAAGGTTTTGTATGGAAAAGATTGTTTTCTATACACAACAGCCAACATTACTTTATGTATCAGATTACTCTTATTTTAGATTAAGGAAAACAACAAAAAAGCGTGGACTAGATCATGGGATGTTTTGGATGTCCTCAACTTTTACTGATTTCAGTGGAAATTGAGGGTGCTCAGTATATTGCAGGAACAGGCTCATGTGGCTGAATGCTGCCATCAGATACATAAATGCAGCTCCTTGTGTCCTCTGTTGAATTGTGCTTGATTATACTGTGCTGAATTTGGCCTCTTAATTTTAAGTCAAGGCCATGAATTCTGCCAGGTATACTTGCCAGCTTGGTTCTTGGGACCTAGCACATTCTGCTTACTATTCTTCCTGTCTTCCCTTGTCTCAACAATGTCAGATTACAGCAAGCACGTTGAAGTTTATAATATACGTATCTTGTCTCCTGTTATAAGTGAATGGTAAAGCATTTTGTTACAGAATTGTGTAGTGTGTTTCTGAATCTATTCTTTGTGTGTGTTGCAGTCATTTGAACACTTTGATGTGCCATGTTAATCAAAAGTGAGAAAGTATTTATGTCAAAGTGAAATTCTTTGAGGATGAAAAAATATGTCATAAGTAGGTTAAGGAGACATTGTAAGTCTGAGATAACACCTTTGAACACAATGTATAGTAATATACAGTTTCTTACATCAAATCCATTAATTCCTTCAGTTGAAAAGACCACCATTTGGAAGGAATGATATTGGGAAGGAATTTGTTATAACTGCAGTGCAACAAGCATCAAAATCCTAGTGTAAATGTCAAAATGGACATATTTCCTTTACTCATCTTTAGACTTGGCTTGAAAAGTGGTTCCACAAATGACATTTCTACAGCTTTGGCTAAACCACAGATGCTTGGCAGTTGCAAAATTAAAATAGACACAGTAATGTACTGTATATTTTATTTAACAATGGCAATCAGCTTAGCTGCAGTTCCTCAGCACTAGTTAAAATGTGTGACCAGTCAAAAGGTAATAGTTTCAAATTCTTTATCTTCTATCTTTAGAGAAAAAGGACCAAATTTATCTCCTGTGATTTTCTGACTGAGTGGTTATACAAGTAAGTTAATTCTGTTTCTAAATATTAACTTTGTCCAATGATTCAGCAACATAAATTTATAAGTAGAATAACAACAATTGAGATGAATGTTGTTGTTTTCCTGTTAACTGTATTTTAAAAAATATATATGATATAATTATCAGCCAGAATCCAAAGAGGAAAGATGAGCCATTCACAGAATTCTTCTCCATCCCTTTTGTGAAGGACTGGCTAAAGGACCAGTAAGTATTATGCAATATTCAAACAGTATTTTTTTTCTTTTTTCTCATCTTCCCCCTAATTTCCCCCCTCCCCAAATAACAGAGCTTAAATGTGTTAAAATTGTCCCCCTTGAAGTGTCCTTCACCATTCTTGCATAACAAAGGGTCTTTGTGGTGCTTGTTAATTTGGTAGTTATAAGATATTTTGTGCCAGGATCATTTGCACAGAAAGTGTTGTGGGAGTGCTAAACATTTCATTATTCTAAAGTGCAGGGAATTTCAAATTGCCTGATGGTATTATGAAAATCCTTATACTAATGAACAAATAACCCTGGTTTTAAATATTGCTTGCTAATGCTATGATTAGGAACCTCTTTGAGGTTTAGAAATTTGTTCCTCCATACTGTGACCAGCTTGTTTAAAAATCCCTGTAGTAACACTTGGCATCGAGATGCATTTCTTCTGCATATTATTCATGATTTTGTATCTAAGAGATGACACTTTCTGTTTCTGGAGTAAAGTGTTAATTGTCTCCCTCTACAGCTTTCCTTATTACTCCTCCAATACAGGGCTGTATCATAGTTTTGGAGGAATCTTTTTCTTCTTGGTTGCATGATTTGTCCAGCAATGCAGCTGTTGCTTGAGAAAAGAATGGGGGAGTGGGGAGGGGAAATAACAGCCCACAATGAAGGAGTAAGAAAATTTTATGGCCCAGATTTTCAAGAGAATTCCCTTTTAAGCACCTTTAATGATGTGGCCAGATATGTTGCCAGTGGAAGCTTTTGGGTGCTGAGGACTTTTTTGAAAATCTGTCCATTTCATTAAGATGCCAAAATGGGAGCTGAGCTTTCTTGAAAATCTTGCTACAGGGTTCCACTTGGAAAAACCTAAAACTCTGAGTCACTGCCTCAGAGAGAGAATAGCTCCTTGATGTTCATAGGCCTTTGAAGAGAGCAGGGTGAATGAGAAGTGGACACTCAAGCCTGGTCTATACTACACTGTTAGGTTGATGTATGACATAATTACGTTGACGTAAGCTGCCTGTGAACACACTACGCCCTTGTCCCACCCATGTAAGTGCCGTACTACACCGACATCATAACTCCAGCAGGCGTAGAGCTTATGTCGATGTAGTTAGGACCTGGTGTCTGTGTAGACACTGTTACTTACCTCAGCTGTTGAGTATCTTGTCAATTTCAGGGCTCCATGCTGGAGCCCTGAAATTGACAAGAAAACTGGGCAGCTAGAGCCTGGCTGCCCCGCTTCCGGAATGGAGGCAAGTAGCTCAGGAGGCTGCCCCCTGCCTTGCTCCTGGCGGGGAACAGGGAGGCGAGAAGCCCAGATGGCTATCCCTGCTTCCAGTTGGGAGGTAGGAGCCAAAAGCCTGGGGGGCAGCTAGGCTACCAGTGTGGAGCTGCGCAGAGCTGTGAACTCTGGCTCTCAGCCCCCCACACAGCCAGTGGGGGTGCTCCTGTTGAGGATGCACATCACCGACAGAAGGAGAGTAGTAGCTGTAAGTCGACCTAAGATAGGTCAACTTAAGTTTGTAGTGTAGACATGCCCTCAGACACCTAATACAGAAATAACAAGTTTCTTCACACTTCCCTGCCAATGTGGCTCAAACCTACCTTGGATGGACAACTTCTAGGGACTAATAAATTTCATTCTCCATACCCATTAGCTGCTTACTATCTCAACCAACAAGATTGCCATTTCAAGCGGCAATTTTGAGATTTGGATGCTTGCTTTAAACTGGAGTGAGACAGTCATACTAATTGCATAGAGGCTACTGAACAGCCATCAGATAGTATCATATTTCTGTTATAACTGACATGGGAGTTGGAATTTTTGAAGGTGATTAAGGTCTGGTCTACACTATAGAGTTAGGTCGACTCAAGGCAGCTTACGTTGACCTAACTCTGTAAGCGTCTACGCTAAAATGTCACTCCCACCAATGTAACTTGTTTGCTATGTTGACTTAATAGCTCCATCTCCACGAGAAGTGTAGTGCTCAGGTCGATGTAGTTAGATCAACGCAGTGTCAGTGTATACACTGTTTTACTTACGTCGACTTTAGTGGCCTCCAGGAGGTGCCCCACAGTGCCCCAACCTGACCGCTCTGGTCACCATTTTTAACTCTGCTGCCCAGAGGCCAGGTGGACAGGTACACACATCTCCCCTTTAAAAGCCCTGTGAATTTTTGAAATTCCATTTCCTGTTTGCTTGGTGTGGAGAGCTCACCTAGCAAGTACCCAGCTGACCATGCTGGCTCCACGCTGCCTGGAGTACACAGGAGGTGGTGGATCGCCTGGGTCTGTAGGAAGAAGAGGCTATGCAGGCACAGCTCCAATCCAGCTGTAGAAATGTCATTATCTATGAGCAGATTGCTCAGGGCCTGGGGAAGAAGGGCTACAAGATGGACCACAGCAGTGCCGCGTGAAAGCCAATGTGCTGCCGCAAGCATACCAAAACGCAAGGGAGGTTAACAGTCGCTCTGGTGCGGAGTGCAGACATGCTGCTTTTATAAAGAGCTGCATGCCATCCTCAGGGGAGACCCCGCTACCACTTCCAAGAGCCCCATGGATACTTCATAGAACTGGAAGGGACCTCGAGAGGTCATCTAGTCCAGTCCCCTGCACTCAAAGCAGGACTAAGCTCTAGACCCCATCCCTGACACGTGTTTGTCTAACCTGCTTTTAAAAATCTCCAATGATGGAGACTCCACGCCCTCCCTAGGCAATTTATTCCAGTGGTTAACCACCCTGACAGTTAGGAAATTTTTCCTAATGTCCACCCTAAACCTCCCTTGCTGCAATTTAAGCCCATTGCGACTTTAGGGGAGCTGGAGTCACAGGCCCCCAGAGTGAACAGTGAGGAGGAGGTGTTGGATGAGGAAGAGGAGGAGGAGGAGGAGTATGGGGGACAGGTGACTGGGGGATCCAGTGGCTCAGTGAGCCAGGACCTCTTTTTGACTCCAGAACAGTTGAGCCAATCCCTACAGTCCAGTATGGGCAAGCTTGATGCAGGGGAAGTAACCTCTGGTAAGTATGCAGTTTGCTTTGATATTGCAGGGACACGTGTTCATTTACTCTTTTTAAATCATGCTAGAAGAGGTAGTGAAATAACCAGTAGAGGTAGAGTTACTATCTGCTTCTCATTCCCCTATACAGTAAGACAGAGTGGGCCCTGCAGAACCTGTTTGTGCACCAGGATAGCCCATGAATCCTCCATAGAGATCTCAAGGAAACTTTCCTGAAGGTAGTCTGCAATTCTCTGACAAAAGTTTCTGGGGAGGGCTGCCTTATTTCATCCACTGTGGTAGGACACTTTCCCATGCCATTCAGCAATTACTTCAGCAGGCACCATTGCAGCACACAAGCTAGCAGCATATGGACACATGCAGCAGCTTTTCCCTTTTAGCCTCCATTACCCTCAGGAGTGAGATATCAGCTAAAATCACCACTGCCTGTGGAAAACAGTGCCAGTATTCAGTTCAATTGCCCTATTTGCATATACTCATGCCTGTGAGCGATTCTTCCTCCCCCCCTCCCCCCCGTTATTGTCCCAATTCACCCCCTTCTTCCCCGGGTCGCACTATGAATCCCAAGGAGGAGGGGCCTGGAGGGTCTCTACATCCACACCAGCAGAGTGTCCGATGAAGAGAGCTGTAGCTCACAAAAGCTTATGCTCTAATAAATTTGTTAGTCTCTAAGGTGCCACAAGTACTCCTTTTCTTTTTACGGATACAGACTAACACGGCTGCTACTCTGAAATCAGCCAGATAAGGAGGAGAAGGAAGAGCATGTAGGATGACATGTTCCAAGAGATCCTGCAAGCCTCTGGTGCTTTGGATACTGAGCATATGGCTTGGAGGATCACCCTTGCAGACAGAATGGACAGGGATAGAGCAGAGAGGAGAGGAGAAAAGCACAGGAAAAGGAGACAGACATGCAGCAAGAGATGTTAGTACTTCTCAAGGAGCAAATAGACATGCTGGAGACAGTCAGGCCAATGAGGGGAGGCAAATGCCACACCTGCTCGAGGCTTGCAGTTTGTGGGGCCAAGCCCCTCCTCCCTGCCCAAACTATGCCCAAGCTTATAAATCTTATTTTTGATATAATGTGTTTCTAAATTGGTCTGCCTAAATTTTGTCAGAATAAGAACCAAAAGCTGTGTCCAGTTTCACAAGTTTCGATGAATACATTTTAGCTTTAATTCTAGAGAGCTTGCCACAGATGAAGCTTCACAATTGTTTCCATCTGTAAGATGTACAGTAACAGCAAAAAGAAAAGGAGTACTTGCGGCACCTTAGAGACTAACAAATTTATTTGAGCATAAGCTTTTGTGACTACAGCTCATTTCATCGGACACTCTGCTGGTGTGGATGTAGAGACCCTCCAGGCCCCTCTTCCTTGGGATTCATAGTGCGGCCCGGGGAAGAAGGGGGTGAATAAATTTGTTAGTCTCTAAGGTGCCACAAGTACTCCTTTTTCTTTTTGCGAATGCAGACTAACACAGCTGCTACTCTGAAACCAGTAACAGCGAAGGAATCTGTAGGTAAATTCTTTGGGGCAGTTACCGTATCTCCAACTGGATTTTGTAAAGCACCAAGCGAACTGAGAAATATTTTATCATTATGTATTAAGACCTTGGTTACTAAAGCAGTTTTAAAAAATAAAGATGTTGTCCTGATGACTGTCTGGCTGAGGAACATTCCCTCAGTTATAACAAGCAAAAAACATTATTTTAAAAATGTAGAAGGTTCCCCTTAACAGATTGCTACAATTAAACCCTTGGACTCTTTCCATACATATGCAATAAGAGCAATGCAGTTACCTTTCGTTTGCATTTTCTCAGCAATATTTCCAGCTGAACTACCCTGAAACCCAAGCACAAGTAACCAAATTATATAAAATTCAGGGGTCATGTCATGTCATGAACCCATTGGCATTTTGATTTTTAGTAGAGATGCAATTAGGGTTATACCTTTTGATCATTTGTTTGTCGGGCTTTCCAGTGCT